CCCATCCATATAATCCTCCAAGGAGGTTAAAACGGCAGTGGCCCCGCGACCTTTTATAGTTTGTAAATATTGGAGTTCTGGCAACGGCCAGATTCTCCACTCACGACATGAATGTATGCGGCTTAAGCACTCTTACTCAATCTCCACTGGATTTAGCCCCAGTGACGCGGTTGAGAGAGAAGTGCTGGGATCTCCTGGAGCCATGCTTTTCCCTCCACACTTGGAGAGACAAATCTGGTTTGGAGTTCCCTCCCCAAATTGTAAATATTGTATATAGGTATGTATGTGTTATTTTTATTTATTTATTTTTAGGTTATTTTATTCTTATTTATTGTATATATGTTATTTTTCTGTATAATTTATTTTATTTACTGTACATAGAGTGTGAATGTGATCTGTTAACACTATTATAAATGTCCTTGAGACAGATTGTAATATTTTTCAATAAAATAAAAAAGTTAAATTGTCCTTGGTACTGACCACTTTATATAAAATTATTAACATCCGGCTGAAACTTCGTAAACAACTTCATTTCATTTTAACCTACAAATATTTTATTTACGAAAATTCTCTGAATTGGGGCGTTTTCAATCTGGAGGTTGCCAAACTTTGTCTATTTAAGTACGTAGTAAAAACTGGTAAATACCAATTTTTTACCACTTAAATCGTAAGATAACTTGAGCACAAAGTCGAGAAAAAATGAGGCCTTAAAAAATTTGAGCCGTTTGGCGTGACCTACACTTCCAAATATTGAAAATAACGAGGTTATGTAGGTTCAACCGCCCAATATTTTTGAAGGCATCCTTTTTTATCGATTTTTTGATCAAATTATCTGACGATCCAATTGGAAAGCAAATGGGTATTTACAAGTTTTTAGTACCTAATTAAATAGACAAAGTTCACCGACCTCCAGATTGAAAACGCCCCAATACCGAGAATTTTCGTATATAAAATATTTGTAGGTTACCATGAGAAGAAACTATTTATAAAGTTACAGCTGGATGTTAATAATTTGTTAAAAAGGGGTCTGTAACACGCACTATGGTTTAATGTCTCATACTTTTCCATCTATTTTATACTGTGTGAATTAATTATAATGTTTGTTAATAAGAAGCTTTTTTTTATTCCTTTCTCTTCCTATGAGAAAATACGGGGGCTTTGCCGGGGGTGAGGTCGGGGGATTAAATGCAAGAGTTAATATTCTCCCGGTACCGGGACACAAATTCTTACTTATTTTTATCAAACAACTCTTTGACACAGGTTGCCGAACAACGCCTGCTTTTGTATTAAACCAATTTTCTCTAAAAACAACATTTAGTCCACTGAGAAAAATTAGCACTTTATAAAGGTAACTGAACATTTTACACGGTCAAGTTTTCGAACAAAGCTTTGCCCAAAAAATTTAAATTATGTGTGTGATCATAGCGCATTTGGCCAGCTTTCATTGGTTATTAATACTAGTGACGTGGTGCTGGGGTCTCCTGGAGTTCTGCTTTTCTTTCCGCATGTGGAAAAATTATATGTCCTGTTTAAAAGTTGTTTAGTTTCGCTGAAAGACCTAAAACGAAGTTTTTCAATTCAATGTTTTACTTTGTACTTAATAATAGTTACCTGGGTCATGACTGAGCCTTTGAATATATCCCTACCCTGAAGGTAAAAAACACCATATTCATTTCTTTGTTCGTTGAGGGGAGACAATCTTTCATAAATTTGAGTTATTAAAATTTGTTTCTATGTTACTAAATTATTTAATAAATAAAATGGACGTGGTGTCCTCCACTTTCGGGCTGAAGCACACTCCCTTCCTCCAAAATCGTAAAATATAACCATATCTTATGAAATAAAAAATAACAATTACCTATAAAACTATTATTGTTAGTGTAATTACATTTAATAGTACTTCAAGAAGCACTTAAACTCTATTCAATAAAGGTAGTTAGTTTCCTTCTTTTTATTGCTATGTAACACTGACAGACGAAAAATTCCACCCACTTGATTTTTCCATGTTTTCATCTAAAAATATTTCCGTAAAGTTGTATTTGTATATAATACATGGCATTTGTAGATAATACTTAGTATTTATGGAATTTTTTAATCTTTTTTACCTTTAATAATCAACATGTGATTGGGTAAGAAAGATTAGAGAAAAAAAAATTGAAAAACGAACCATTATTATATTAAAGGAAATTAATTTCATCACCGTTTAGTAGCGCGTGTTTCCTCCTCTTGCCATCACTACTTCTTGAAGACGCCTCTACATACTTTCCACCAGTTGGGAATTGTCCCTTTGCTGGAGGATAGCCCATTCCTCCGAAGAGCCCTTTCAAGGTCCTGCAGTGTATCAGGAAGTGTTGCACGCGCTCTTATTCGTCTTCCGAGGTCTATCCTATAAATGCTCAATGGGGTTCAAATCTGGAGAACATGCTGGCCAGGCTAAAACTGCAATATTGTTCTGTTGAAGGAACGTCTGCACTATGCGGGCGACATGTGGGCGTGCATTATCGTGCATTAGAATAGAACGATCGCCGGTTTCGTTGAGGATAGGCAACACATGAGGTTCCAAAATCTCATCTACATATCGAATGGCCGTCAAAGACCCTCTATGAACAACAAACAATTCTGTGCGGCGCTCCATTGAAATACCAGCCCACACCATTAAGGAACCACGTTGGAAAGGCTCTGGAAAAAATTACAGGCTGCATATCTTTCGTTTCTTCTTCTCCGCACCCTTTCACACCCGTCTGGAGATCTAAGAGCGAATCTTGACTCATCAGTAAAAAGTACAGCACTCCATTCGTCCATAGTCCAATGGCTGTGTTCTCGAGCAAAAGCTAGCCGTGTTACTCTGTGAGTTCTGGTCAACTCTGGTCCTCTTACTGGACGAAAAGCCATTAATCCATACTCATTTAATCTTATCCGAGCGCTACGTTCAGAAATTTTCACACCTCGAACTTCTTCGAGCTGATGAATCGCTTGAACAACGGTAAGGTACCGGTTTCGTAAAATTCTCAAAGTCAAAAACCGGCCATCCCGTGGTTCTGTTACCCTAGATCGTCCAGAACCGGGCCTTCTGTTGTAAGAACCAGTTTCCCGGAAACGCCTGACGGCGTCTCGTAAAGTTTCATACGGAACTCCGATGGCGTTAGCTGTATATCTAATGGAACGTCCATCATCAATAAATGCCACACCACGCGCAACATCCTCAGCACTAAGAGGCATTTTTAAACTTAATATTGAAAAAATTAAAAGCCGGAGACTAAGAAATGTGCTGCAAGAAACGGCACTGAACTAATGATACTGAATAAACATTTTGATTCCATAGAAAGTAAACATTGGAATCTAGAATCATTTCATTGAATTAAGGATTAAGGGTTATTGTACCTATTTATTCATTAAAAACAATAGACCAATCCAAAGCAAAAATATTTTTAGATGAAAACATGAAAAAATCAAGTGGTTGGAATTTTTGGCCTGTCAGTGTATATTGTTTTAAAAAAAAATCGGGCTGAAGTCCCGCTCCCCCAAAACTAAATCCTGAAGCCCCTAGTGCAGTGGTAAGTTGATTCCAGATTAGGTGATTTTCCCGCTAGAAATATCACTAAAATGGCTTTACTCAACTGTTGAAATTGGAGTTAGTCATTCTGTCACTTGAAAACCTCATATAATGGTAGAGAACTTTGATACCTAGGAACTAAGGAGTCACTATGAGAGAAATGAAAAAAATGCATCACTACAAAAGAGTCATACTTGATCTGGTTTTTAAATGAAAAAAAATGGCCTGTTTTCGTGGAGTTTCACTTGGATGAAACAGAACATGAAAAAAGATTAAGGAAATGAATAGAGTGTGATAGTTTCCAGCCTGCCGAAAATTTCTATATTTATTAATAGTATTTAAAAAGTATAGTTAAATCATACACTTTGTGTTAAACAAATTTTTAAAGTTGTAATCTCAAATATATTTTTTTTCTCTAAACATTTTTATTATTGAATTAGTTATACTCTTAAATTCTTAGGGTTATTTACTGACTATGGCAAGATACTGACGTGGAGAGTGTGCATTAAGTATAACCGAAAAGAAATAAAAACACCGTGTGGATTTTTACCAAGTTAATTAAAAGATGTTCATATTTATTGTTGCTCAAAAACAACTGTGCTAAGCATTTCAAAGCTCATTAAGACCTGCGAGATAGATAACTGTGCTAAAGCCTCCAGTAGTCCATTTTGCTGTTCCACCAAAATTTCATGTTATTATAGTTTATTGTATGACATTTCAGGGATTCTGTTAAATCATAAAAAGATACTTTATCACTAGAATGAAAATGAGTAATCTAATATAAGGCGTGAATCACTAAGATATTACGTTCTAATACGATTTACAAAGAGATAAATATACCACGTAAGTGAAAGCATTACGAAGCACAAGATCGTAACTCAAAGAGAAAGTGAACTGACCCTGACAATGTGCAATGCATTTCTTCCATTACCATATTCGCGTTTAGCTTTATTTGAAAATTTGTTTACTACATGACCTTTTGAAGTATTTACTTTCACTTACCTATATATGTAATATATAGTTAGGGTAAGTATTGCGATCGTTAAATTTCGAATCTGAGTTTTCAAAGGAAATACACGTTTTGAGGTCCCCTGAGTAGAAATAACCTAGTTCCGCAAAATGATGAGTGTGTGTGTGTGTGTGTGTGTGTACAGTCTAGCTCAAAAACGAAAAGTCCTACATAAGTGATATTACGTATTTAAGATAGGTATATGACTCAGATGTTATAGCAACTTTTTCCTTAAAATCGACTATTGTCTACGGATACATTGTAATTACTTAATTCCAGATTTTATTTTTTCATTTGTTATTTGTTCATTGACAAATATACTATGTGAATTATTAGCACGGAATTATTAAAATAACTAGTTTAATTTTATTTTACTTTGTTATTGAGGTTGTGTTGAATTTTTTAAAGACTAATTTCTCCTTTATTTGTTTTAAAAAGGTAAATGGGACCCAAGTACCACGTCTGTGGACGACCTCTTCAAAACCGTCATAGCTACCCTGGAAGTTGGAATTCTGGAACCAAGAGCGCAGATCCTCGGTGGTATAGCTATCTTCGACATGGAAGGCCTCACGATGAAACACGCTTACCACATGACTCCGAGTGTTGTTCATAAAGTTATCCAGGTCACAGTGGTGAGTATATGACATTTTATACGATTTATCGATAAAATCATTGTAAGGCTCATAATCATTTTAAACATCGATATATCGTTTCAAGTATTTATGTATATATATATGTGTGTGTGTGTGTGTGTGTGTGTGTGTGTGTGTGTGTGTGTGTGTGTGTGTTTAAATTATGTATAAAAAAATAAGTAATTTTTTTTAGAGAATTTATGATAGTTTGGATTTAAAAAAACGTGGCAATTTTCGTTTGAAGATTTATTTGTTTTTGGTTTAGGAAACGAAATACGTTTGAAGTGAAATTTTGGGTAGAATTGAGGTTTTCTATGTTGTTTTAATTTGTTATTAGCAATAAATATACAAATTTCAGAATTTATCCGCTATTTATTCATTCCATCCTAGGAAAACCTATTAGTAATTGTGTGCATAACAACGAAAGTTGTAATCGGGTTAAAACATTTTTGTTTCAAAATTAACTTTTTGTTGCTAAATGATGACCTACATCACCTTAATTATTGGCGCATAAATAGAGGTTTTTAAACCCATTTTAATGTTAAGAAAATAACGAACTAACTATCGCTTTTCAATTAGGCTTTTCACATACTCACAAATAGATCATTTTGTGAGACTTAGTTATTTTAAATCAGGGGACATTAAAGCGTGTATTTCCGTTGAAAAATCAGATTCGAAATTTTTCACGATCACAATAGTGTGTCCCTCACAATATATTATATATATAGGTAAGTGAAAGTAAGAACTTCATATTATTATTGCCAGCTAAGTAAAGTCCAGCTAGATGATAAGGTAATCTAGATAAGAAAGTTGTCGAGAGATAATGGCTGGGGCGCCCGACTGACTGTAACTGGAGATGTCACCCTTCCACTCTCGAGATCGCTTCAGTTTAATGTTTCTCTGTAAATATCTTAACCTCATTCGTTTACTTTACTATCACTTTTCTCCCAAGAGCTCTTGAATTTTTTGATATTATAGCCTGTTCAATTCTCGTATTTTCGATTGTAAAGATTGTAAAGTCAGATTTAGCAGAAAAATTAGATTTAGTTTTTCTTTACTTGTCTCACTGTGAGCCAAATCTCAATTTAATTTAATTGCCTTTCAAAAGTTTTATTATAAATTTTACCGTATAATATATACTTAAGGAGTTAGGCCCCGTAACATTTTTTTTTCTTTATAACTTTTTTTCCTGATTTTTGGGGCGAATTCATTTAGTCTATATAAAAAAATTGGAAGAAAAATGATTAGAACATTATAGGAAAGTTTCATCAAAATCGTTAGAGCCGTTATTGCGCTACAGTCTATAGAAAACCATGTTTTTCATTTATTGCGCGCAAGCTATTGCGCATGGAGCACCGAATTTCTGTCACAGCCATCAGTAGTCAAAATCCTACAAAATAAAAAAAGGAGCAACAAAATCGGTTCAGTAGTTCCCGAGAAAATCTTGGCACAGACAGACAGACAGACCAATGGCTAAAAATGTGTTTTTCGGACTCAGGGGGCTGTGAAACGTATATATCCGTCGAAAACCGCATGTCGGAAAATTGACCCGATTGTAATACTTTCCTTACCTAGTAAAGGTAGGAAAGTAAAAAGACTATCATTATTTAACGAAAATCACAAGTTTGCAAGGAAATTTTCTTTCTAACTGTAAACTTTTAAATGTTATCTATTTTCTGTTTATCACAAAACGTTCATGAAGTAACCTTTTAGAAAATTAAATTAGTGACTAATCTGATGAATTTTCGCTTTGTGAAATCCGACATTATCCACTGACAATTAGTGTGATAACTTTGGAAAATAAAAGTTTAATAGCGATAATCATTTATAGGTCAAATATTCAGATATACCTTCAAATCTCTCTAGGCATATATGAGCCTTCCGGTTGACGGATTGACTAACTCCGATTTCAACATTCTTTATTAATAATTTTAGTGATGTATCTAGTGGCAAAATTTATACCTTTATTCACAGTTCTATGTTTCAACAGTGCAATCACCTAGTATGGAATCAACTTACTGACTGTCTGTATTGATAAAACTTTTCCTATTAGAAATATCACTAAAATGACATTACTCAAATATTGAAATCAGAGTTAGTCATTCTGTCAACTGGAAGGCTCAGAGACTGAAGTTGTGTGGTTTTTAAAATCAGCTGGAGTGACTAGTTTTATTGCCTGCCGTCGATGTAATAAATAGACTGTTTGTAATTTTACTGGTCTCAATGATTCGTAATCTGTTAGCTTCAAGCTTTAGCTCCGTTTAAAATGCACTTCAAAAATTTTATAATATCCCACCATTGCCAGCAAATAATTTCTATTCTCACAAGAAGTGTGATGGGAGGAACTAGTATGAAAATAGATTCAGGATCATTGTTATCGTAAACAAGATATGTAAAGTAAAAACGGTTTATGGCGATGCCATATTATGTAACAAGACTTTTTTATAAGTATGAAAGATTCATCTCAAGCAGGAATGCTGAATTGAAATACAAAAGCTTTATTACACTAAAAAGAGAATAACTCAGGCCGCTCGCCTTACTCGAGAGGTATTGACTTCTGCAATGGGTTATTAAGTAAACACTATCTGGACACAAGATAGGGCCCTCAACAAAGACTCAAGACCTTGGTCGACGGACCTATTGACTCCTGCGGTACCAAGGACTCTGATTGGTTCCGTGTTCGGCCCCTTCTAATACTGAAATATTTCCGCCTTTATTGTCCTCCTAGGGTAAGCGGAAATAATAGAAACATTTGATTAAAATGAATATGATTTTTTTTCTTCCTATAAAACTTATTTTAATGTTGGAACGAAAATCATCTTCTGTCCGATGTGATTTAAAATTAATACCTCAGTTTATATTGTGACAAAGCATCTGCTAGTCTGTTATGTTCTGAAGAATACCTGCAAAATGTTGACTAATTGTTATAAAGTTCAAACTTTACGGAGAATTTGATCAAAACAATAGCTCCAATAATAGAAAATAAAAACAATATTCCGCGGTATTTAACACTTTATATCAAATTATTAACATTTTCCTTGAACATTTTTATTTACGAAAATACTTGGAACGGGGCCAGTTTTCCATCTGGAGATCAGTAAACTATGGCTATTTAATTAGGTAGAATAACTCCTAAACGCTTTTCCCTGAGAATCATAAGATAATTTGCATAAGACCACGAAATTGAGAAAAGAACGTGTCATTCAGAAATTTTGGACCTTTTGAATCATGTCAAAATATCGAGATTATAAAGGCCGAACAGTCCAATTTTTTTCTAGGCCAACTTTTTTATTTTGTGATCAAATTATTTTGCGGTTAGAGTGGAACGCAAATGAGTACTGGTGAATTTTTAGAGCTTCGTTAAATTACTTCGTAGCGTAGAAGATGTTATAACCAGTGAAATCACGATGTGGATCTATCTCATAAAGAAAAATCAGCACGACCCACACTAGGAAGAGCGGAAGGTTTCTTGGACATCGGCTCTATCTTATTCGGAAGTTACAGTATATTGCTCAAACTTTGTCTGTTTATTTTTTTGACGATATTGAATTTGAACTCATGCCATTTAGTCGACCCGACGCATGCATTAAAGGAATTTGTCTGACATCCTGCAGCAGCCTTCTCGCTAAAATCTACTTTTCTTAAGTTCCCTTTTAATTCATATATTTTTTTAATTAGCTAAAAAAAGACTCTAACAATTTAGACTAAATTCGTTAAATCGGTATTAAATTGAATGTTTTTTTTTTTTAATATCGGTCAGGTAATTGTTTGACACAGCTTAATTCAGAATTTTGAGGGTTTTTTTTTCCCCCTTAAATACGTTTAATTTTGTTTAGTAGAGATAATTGAAAGTCTCTAATTTTCGGTAATAAAAAATAAGAACTATGAAATAATTTGAATATTAACTAGCGAGGTTGAATATTTTCAGAGGTTGAAACAAATTTCCTTTGAAAACAAACACATAACAAACCGTTGAAAAATTAATACTAATGAAGCTGGTGATGGAGAGTGACAAAAAAATCTATAAAATTTAATGGCTGCAGTTAATAATTTCTAATTAAAAAAAATATATATAAAGGTTTTCAGGGCAACTTAATGAAATTTTCTGAAAATAATAGGAAAACATTGAAATTGATGTTGAAACTTGACAAACGAAAAATATACTTTGGACAAATGTTTATAATTGTGTTTATAATTAAAGTAATATATTTAAGGTTCTTATTTTTTTTAAAAATTATAATAATTTCTTCTCAAACTAGCATAGTAAGTAAAAGATGTGTGATGTGCACGCCGCACCCGATTTTTTTTTCAATTTATTTACAAACAACTTTGATTTAAAACAAAAAAAACATTCAATGCCCAAATAACCGAAGACACTGTGCTTTATGATACCTATTGTTGGAAATGTGCGTGGGTATATTTTATCTCAACGCCTCCCCTTCAATAGCAACAAAACGCTTATTTGTTTTATTGAAATTACAAAACACTACCAGAGAACGAAAAATGACGCAATTGAGTTCGTTAGCCGCTCACTCATCCGTCAGGGTCAGGCATACAGTAAAATTTCTTTACCCAGGAGCGCGTTTGTAAAAAAAAAAAAAATGTAATCAAGATATAACACTGAATATAAATATCGTCTGTGCAGTATTGTTTGTGTGTAATTAATTAGCTGTTCCTGGTAGATATGATGAAGCTGGAAGTTAATCACAGAAGGAAATCTCCGTTTAGCTAGGAACAAAAATTAAGATCATGGAAGGAGAAGATTTGAGTGTGAACAACGGAATATATGTTGATGTTTTATTAGTAAAATGAAACTTGTCTGATATTCCAAAGCTGCTGATTTTAACAATGGAGAATGAATCCAAAAATATTTCATCAGTCAGTTGAGGATAAAAGCGGTCGATCTTGCGAAAAATATAAATGAGGTTTCTATTTTTTGAACTTGTTGATAAGGATGTAAACATGTAAAAAAACAAACTTATTAACACGTGCAATCTGAA